ATCGAATTTTATTGAATGCGAATCGCCTTAATAAATTGCAAACTTATTTTTTGAGGCATAGAAAAATATGAATAATAGTTACTGTACGCACGTGCCGCGTGTACGAATTTGCATAGTACCATCGTTGCGCGTAGATGACGTACAACATGCATATAAAAAATGCTCTTATTTACATAGATGGTGGATACATATTTTATAAAGCGCAAGAGACGAGAAAAAATGGGCGTTTTTGTTTTTCTGCTTAGATTCGTTTGTTAGCGATAAGAAATATGCTCGACTAAACATCTGTGATAGACATGAGTTAAATCTCAATGAATGCTCTCTTCTATGAATTTTATCGTATTATTAAAATTAAGAGGTTTATTAATTTCTCTCTCTCTCTCTCTCTCTCTCTCTCTCTCTCTCGCTTGCTCGCTTGCTCGCTCTCTTTTTCTGCTTTCTGTAGTGCGCGCGCGCGTATAAGTGCGTATGTGCGTGTATAGTGTAATGTTCATTCATGGTTGTGTTACGTAAAAATATTACAGATGTTCTGCTATTGTCAAATGGTTTTTTCTACCAAAACTAGATAAATGTTACACATAAATAACGGAATAAGTACTATATATTGTTGCGATTTTTGCCATTCGATCGAACATACTATGCGACCGGAATTAATTAAAGCCGTTCCAACATTATCTTGCATGCTTGCGGTACTTAATTGTATGCAATTATAATCTTTGTTATGCAATCGCAGACGCAATTGCTTCCTGTCGCTGCAATTTGCTCTGCTCGCTGTTGAATGATTCGTTATTAATTTCAGTTTGCAGGCGTGGCTGCTCTATCGAACTACATATTATCGATAATTTTTCTATCGCTGAAAAAGTGATGTGCGATTTTATAATTATAGGAAAATTCTGATGCTCTACTAAGAATAAGAACTGTATCGTAACTTTCCAAAATTATTCTTTCCTAAACAAGTTTTGTCAAAACTTCAAGTTGTAATAATATTTCTATTAAGATGCAAGTTGAATAATATTTCTATGAATAATTATGCAATTATTAATTTAAAAATAAATAATATACTAATGAGTTTTGAAGGCAGGCAAAAGTTGTGATATAATTAGAAATATGTGAGAAATAATATAAAATTTTGATTTTACCTTACCGGAGTAGCGTAACGTTTCTCGTTAAGGCTCCTGGGTAGTCACCGCAGCCATATTAGATTCGTGACGTCAGAAGCGAGAAATGACACGCCGAGAATTCTTGCGTGCCATTTCTAAATAAAATGATAATTTAACAAAGTAACACTCTAGATCGCTTTAAGACACCTGTAAAATTGTCCGAAAACTATGCTTTTTCCTTGACAGGTTATAAACAATCGTTAAATCAACCGTGAAGCGAAGCCTAATTATGCGAGAAAACACACGGTTGACAGCTGTCTGTATGAGTAGAAAATACTCCTTCTACGTTGGGCTTTCCCTGCTAATCTTAGTTTTCGGATAATTTTACAGGTTTCATGAACACGTCACATATCACAGCACTAACATTTAACGAATATTAACGAAATGGCACGCAAGAATAAATTGGGTAGTCAACATGTCATTTTTTCACGTCTAATAGTTCATCGATTCTCCACCTAAGACGCTGCATGAGAATTTCTGTCATATGGACATGTCGGTAACGGTACTAAGCTATATATATTCTGTATTTATCGCGTTTATTTTTTTGTAAACAAATTTTTGAATTATAAATTAGCATTTTGTATGTTATTCAGTAATTTACTTTTATCGTATCAATTGATTAGGTCAAACTGTTACACTATTTACTTATACAATAAATCGACTAGGTAAATTCGACTAGGTTTTTATTCCTACCACAATTATGTCGCCACTGTCAACGCGGAGTTCACGGCTACGAGACCAGGAGCCTTAACGAATCTTCGATCTACGTCGCGCATAAATGATCGAGAATCATTCGCACGCGTTTACGACCAAGGTTGTTTCGGCCGTAATGCAGTTTTTTAAAGACGATTCGTGTACACACATACGTGGCGATACATACAATATGCATGACAAGAGAAGCGAAACGGGTGTCCATTAACGAATGGTGACGTTTAACGAGGTGTAGCGCGCACTTTTTTTGCGCTCAACGAGCGGCGGGCTTCTGCCAATTGTGTTTACGAGGCTGCGCGCGTGTTGCGGTATAATTCACGAAATCGACATGCAATTCCCGAAATAAAGCGCAGCCCGATTCACCCAGCCCTCTTATCTCTTTATCGCCGGCTAATATCAACTGGTCAGATAACTATTATAAATCGTAGTGCTGAATTTCCGATTGTGTTCCGTTATGTTCGATGCACAACAAGATTAAGCTCTATAGAATGATCAAACTTTATCACGTTTATCAACTTTTTTGTACCTATAAATGTGAAAAAATTGATAAAGTATAGAAGACAATTTAAAAATGGTAAAACAAGATTTAGTAGTCGTAAATTGATACTAAAGTTGATTTGTTATCAGTTTTTCGTTGCATATTTGAAGTGTAGACAAATTATATTTTATTGAATTTCCGTTTCACAGAAAATATATACCTATTATTTTGCGAACATTTTTTAGAAATAGTAAAATTATTTTTATTTTAAGTATTTTTTTTACATTAATTTATTCTTTTGTTAATATTTCGATCATTTTACGTATATATTTATATAAGAAGAATATGACAAAAATCTCACGATAAAATTTTGCTTCGGAATTAAACGCCAAATCGCGTTTGTGCATGCATCATCTTGACGCTCGCATTGCAGGAGCAATTCACTTTGATCGCGTATCGTATACATTATAGTCTCTTCACCGATCACGCTTCCCTTTCGACGCGCATCAGTTTCATTGACCACAGCGACGATCAATGTTGTCTGTGTCATCCATCTACCCGTTGCTCATCTTCTTCACGCTTGCACCATTCATCCTGGCTGTCGTGTGTCGAAATTGCCTCTTTCTCGACGTATGCTCGTGCCTACAGAGTGTCTCGTTATTATCCTCTTAAAGGCACAATTTTCTTAGCGATATTGACAATAAGATATTTGACAGTTCAATGTAATTTAATTTAATTTTTCTCCATCTTTATTCGGTTGAAATTTAATTAGACGCTGCTTTATTTATTTTCCTTTCATTTCCAAATTATCATTTCGATATCAAGACATTGAGTTTTTGCATTTATCATGGAGAGAGAAGAGAAAAGGAAATTGATGGGGAGAGGGAGAGGGGGGAGGGGGAGAGACGGTGGAAGGAAGAGAGCAAGCGAGCGAGCGAGCGAGCGAGTGAGCGAGTCTGCGACTTACGGAATACCCTGTGCGTTTGCCAGTACATCTGAGTTATTATACAATTATCGTGTTTCTCGCTCGCAGCCATGACGCATGGCTTTTGTCGGTTTGCTCGCGTCAAAGCGGGCCCGTCGGACCGAGAGGTAACTCGATTTATCTCCCGTTGGTTGGCGGCGATAGTCGGCGTCGAAACGCTGTTCCACGGGCCGGTACAGAGCTCTCTTATTATTGTTTACGTAATGTTTACGTAACGCCACGTACGTACATGCTGCATCGGTAGTCGCGATGCACTTGCATTGGCATGCATCGGTAATGTGTCTGCTTCAAGAATCATATTTTGCAGAACGCGTGACAATCGCATCTCTTTTAAAATTTTGGAAACAATGCTCTTTGCTCTTAGGATTCTAATTATTAAAAATTTAGAAAATTATTATAATTCACTGAAAATATCTTCCGTGTCGACTGTTTAAAAATCTGAACGATGAAAATACCGAAGGCATATTTAAATGTTTCCTTTAACACTTATTGTTAGAGATATATAATTATCAGCCATTAAACGACAGAAAATTATTTTAATCTTTTTGCAGATGAGTGCAATATAAATCTATTTTTTGTTACAAAGTATCTTACGCATTGTTTTTATCACGTAAATCAACACTTTACGTAATCTGTAATTTCTCATGAGATACGTTTAGCAGGAAATCGCGTCAAAAAGTATAACTACTTTTTTCACTGAATTGATTAAGATTTATTATTACGTGTTGCACTTTATCGATACAGGAAACAATATTTGACACTTTAATCCGTATCATTTTTTCGCGGCGAAAGATCACTTAGCATTTTTTGCGACGAAATATACAAGCGCGCGGATGAACGAGCATAGAAAGGAATAATGAATAAATGCTTGGTTAAGAGAAAGAACCGAGTTCGATTCCGCAACGGGCGACAGTAGCCACGATGACATGTGAATCATTTTATCGCGAAGGTTGTGAATAACATTATGGTCGATATATTGCGCGGAGAGCTTTGCGCGCCGAAGACAACGAGTCTCTAAGGCTTGAAAGGGTGATTTAGCGAACAACGTCGAAGAATTATTAACGACGCGCACATCTTTCGCTCCAAATTCTTTCGCTTCTTTGAATTCTTTTCTTCTCCGACGTCGCTTTTCTTCATCTTCCGAGAAAAACGATTGCGCCGATCGTAAAATTCCCGTCTGGGGAAAAATTACATTAACCACGAGCGAGTTCTGGTAATGTTGTTGCACGAGAGTGACGACGAGTTCACTTTATCACCGAACGCTCATAAAAGCACGTCATTCTGCATTGATTGCATAATGTAGATTTTTTTTGTTCTATTCATAATAGTCGTTGAGACTTATAGGTTTTGGACCGATAATAAATTATATCAGTTTCTTGACGATTGCTCCATCTATTTTAATAATGGTGAATTTAATCTTTTAATGCAATTTTAGTGTTTTACAATATATCGATTTTATATATCATATTACGCAGTGATTTACTATTTACGATGGGACGTTTACGATATGATTTCAAATGAGGAAAATGAGGTTCTGTTTCATTTTAACGAGAAAGATTTGATAATAAATTTTCACGATATACTTTGTGTGTGGTGTCGCTCGCGCATTTATATCTAAATATTATTTGAATAGTATGCTGAATAATATGATTTTCCTGTGTTGCAGGCTGAGGACCTCCTGGACGATATTTTGTCGTTCGAGGCTGGTTCCTTAGGTGATGGATTAAAAGATGGCCAAGCCGGAAGCCTCACTAATATACCGGAACTACAGATTAAGCCGGAGCCCCTTTTGCTTACGGAAGCGGAGATTCACGCCCTCGCTAAAGACCGGCAGAAGAAGGATAATCATAATATGAGTAAGTCGATAATTATTTTTCCTAATTAATTTACAAAACATTTTTGAGTTATTTTTTGAATATTAATTTTTCGCGCAGTTTGATAATGTTAAATTTTCATAATAATATATGCTTGCATAATGTGATGTTTATTGAAAATTATGCATATATTAAAATTTAAGCAAGGAATTTGGAATGTAACAAACGAAGCAATCTTCTCACAATCCGACATGCGGCTTCCGTAATAAAATTGATGTTTTAATCTTGCCTTTTCACATATACAGCTGCTTTAAATGTCGTTTCGATCAGCAGGTAGTAAGTAAATGCTTGTTTAGTCATGTAGAAATAATTGATAAGCGCCAGGCGTAATTTACACCTGAATGGTAGCAATCGCCGTCATTGTTTACTACATTACACTTATGCCAACACGGAGCCCGCGACGTAAGTAGACTATTTAAATGACAATGGAAAAGTGTCGCCATACATCGTCACATCGGTCGTCTATTATTATCGCCAATGTAGCGCAAATTAAACTAATGTCTGTCTGTTATCTGTTAACGCAAACAGCAACGGCAAGCTAAATAAAATTTCGCACATTTACAGTGGCGACGTGAATTATGTTTTTAATGAAAATTCTCCCGTTACTTCGCCCGTTATTATGTCTCATATTATTTTTTTAAATTTGATACTTTTATAAGAGAAGAAGATATTTTTAATGTTTCACAATGATTTTTTATGCAGACGCACGTGTAATTTGAAATTTCATATTTTTACTTTTTGAAAGAGATGATTTGTAATAAAAATATTTCAAATAAACGCGTAATATATGTATTACACTATAACGACATAGTATTTAATTTAAATAAAATTAAGATTTGATAGTTTTAAAGGATATTGTTTTGCAAAACATTAGTATCTCACGATTTCTACCGTGATAAGGTGATAAATATCGAAAATCGATAATAATTTTCGAGTAACGATATACGAACAGTATCATATTTTTATCGATTTCTGCTTTACGATACGATATGAGTTACATGCCGAATTTACACAAGTTATAGCAATCTCGTGAATTTGACCGAATAATTTACGAGCTTCAATTAGCCCGTTTCGCCCTTTTCCGCCGCGGTGCAATAAAATTTCGCTGCGTGCACAAATTTTCCGAATAGCGGAAATGTGTGTGTGTTTCAAACACATTTTATTATATCCTGATTTGTAATTCCACTGAAATTTATAAGCCTCTTGATTCAATGTAAAAACGTAATTTTGAAAATAATTCAATAATTAAAATTTTGAATTTGCGACGTGCATCGCGTAATTAAACAGATTATTTGTGCTCAAGCTCTTGTTTTTATTCAGGAAAATAAATTTATATGGCAAAGTAATATTATTAATACACAATTAACATAAAAATAATGACACAATTTTATTTAATAAGAAATTTACAACATATTGTTTAATCTATCTACAGTTTCTTCGAGATGTAATCCGTTGTTCTTTCCGCGACTCTATCTTTCCGCTGTCTCTCGCGATTAAGACGTCGGTAGAATTGCAAAAAATGGTACGACGCTCGTGAACGAAACAAGCGGAAATCGGGGGGTAATAGCAAGTGCCGCATTTGGAGGAACTGGAGCATCCAATTTTCCGAAAACAATCGCGGCGGTAATGAAAGGACGACTAGCCGGCAAAATACAGGATGAAGAAAACAGGCAGGATCGAATTTGTAAGAGAGAATGGTGAAATAACGGTCACGGAGTATACGGGAACATAGGAAACAAAATGGGAATTTTGTAAAAATGGTTGCGCTACTAATTTGCTCCCTTTTTGCTTCGCCACTTATTGATTACTATTGTGCATGCTTGTACAGTACATTGCATTGCGCTACGTAAGGGATAAAAAGGATGCGGCAAGATTGTGACTTATCTTATCGGCAAGATTGCGACTTGTCTTTTTACGCGCGATCGATTTACGTGGAACGTGAGTCGATTTGCGAATGCATCTCCTTGTTTCCTAATTTGCTCAAGTCTGTTAATTATGTTTTCCCCTAATTTGTTTTATTCGCGGTTTCAGTTCCATTTCAAGTTCCACATTCGCTAGATTTGCTAATCGCCTTTCTGCGATTTAAATTGAAACGATGAAATTTTCTTAAAGGAAAAATTGATTCTAAGTTTGTTAAGTTTGTAATGCTACTAAAATTCGAAAGTTTTGGAACCCCTTTTTTTATATATGTAACTTTGATATATTTACTCAAGAATATAATCTGTATACTATTATTTTGAAAATGACGGTTATTACAATCGCAGTATAAATAAGGATGATTCTCTGAGAATCCGTATCGCGTACGTTTGCCGGAGTTAAAAGGCAATTTCGCATTCCCGTCAGGACTACGGCTTTCTCTAATCTTTACTCGTATCTGAGATAATTTCTTCCCATCGGAAGCCCGGGTTTGCCGATTGATGGGAATTGTCGTTGTTGATTAGGGAAGCGTGCCTTTCGATTCCAAGTGAAAAGCATAGATTCGCGTATCTTCCCGACAGAATCGAGTGGTTTCGATCTTTGTCGTTTGTCCCTTTCCCATCTTCCTCGACTTTCCAAACGCTTCACCCTTCTCTGAATTAACCGTCGTAATCTAATCAACAAGATCAGAGGAAGTTCTCGCTTGTCCTTCTCGCCGATGTCCATCTCTCTCTTCGTTGTTTCTCTAATGTTTCTCCTCGCTCCTATCGTTCTCTTTCACTCCTAAGGTGAAATCGAGTTCGAGAGAGGAAGTTACACAGCTTCCTCCAAGTTTTCAAGGCTGTTTCTTCGTCTGCTTGCGCGTGTGACGTCTTCTTGATCATATCTCATCCTTTATAGTTTCCTTCTAAGGCGCTGTTTACAAATATTTGTTTCTGCGTGAATCAGCAATTTGCAGAATTTGGCTTAGCGTGACGCAGATCTGCAGTGCACTTTGAAGTATTCCAGAATTGACGTAGATCTTATTTGGAACCGATTTGCCTTTGACTACATTTGACTTTTACAAAGTTGAAATATTTTCTTACATTTTGAAAACTTTGTTTGTCGTGGAGAGAAGTCGTTTAGTTTAGTGCTCTCTTTTGTTCCGAGACGCAAAATTTAGTTTGACAATTAAGTCTTTATTTATAATTTCTTATATGTACATCTTTTTACATTTATTTTCTTGTCTTTAAAGAACGTTATACTTATTAGAAAAATAAAAGATTATAAGAAGAGAAACGTAACAGAGCACTCTTCTCTGCTTTCTAAGAATTAAATTTATTAATTTGATACTGTTAAACAAGCCTTTGATTTATTGTGAGATTTTTAATGAAAAATTTTTACGATTGACTTGATAGTTTTGAACGAAACATATAATAATATTTTGAATGCATTCCGCTAACTTTTGCGTTAAGCCTGTAATTTTTATCGCGTTTAAATTCGATTAATTTTGATGAAGATAAAAAACTGATGTTATTTATCGGTTTACTTGATGAAATAGCTCGCCAAGAGGTGCAAAAGAAAATTGATCGCTTACTCCGTATCTTTTATTTTTATCGATTAATTTCAACATATTGCTGCGTCTCCATAACTCGCGAAGAGAAGTGTTGTTTCCGTTTGTGATGAGCTTCGACAAATTTATTTTTCCCGCAATGAGTTATCGCCCTCACGATCGCGATATCGGAGCTGCACGTTGATAGTGAGCCAAGCTGCTTGACCTCTCGCATCTCGGTTTGAGAAATGTTGGTCGGAATAATCGATCGGGAATAGGGTCACGTGCCAATGATAGGACGATCCGGTTCGCAGTCTTTTCCGCAGGGGAGATACGCTATATCCTCCGGAAAACGCGATATGCTTTCCCGCCAAATAACTTGGACAGGAGACGACGATACCACCGGTGTATTTGAGAGGACGATTTGACTCTCGACTGTGTGCACATCCGGGACGACGGAGTAGTTTATTAGGATCGAGCGATTGAAGGATAGGCTCCAAATTGCTCGAAAAGTACTTGTAAAATCTTAGGAAATTAATAGCCCGCGAGCGTATGCGGATCTAAAGCAATGTATAAGTCAGAATCTATATATTAATTTTTTTCTCTGAAAACTGAAGAAGATTATTAGTTTTCAAGAAGTAATATTAGTTATCAAGACAAATTTTTCTATTTTAAAGATCATCATTCTGTATCCGTTTACAGAGATATTCACAGAGTTTACACACGAAGGGATTCTTAAACATTTGGTAAAGTTATGTGCCTAGTAAAGTTCTATCGTAATATTATCACGAGTGTTTGATTTTCAATCAAAAAAAAAGAATTCTTAAACTTTCCAATGCATAGGTTGATTAGCATATTTAATGATTCAATTTTGATGCGATTTTTCTTTTAATACGTTGAAGTAATTACAAAACTAGTTTTTTTTATAAACACGAGTACAACTGGTCTTTCAAGGCGGATAAGTCTGAAGACTCGAAGACTTTATTAAGAACGAATTGTCTTTGCGTAGATTCAGTCGCGCAATTAGCAGACGAATTAACAAATGACACGATCTATCTATCGCATCTGCCGCGAGCGAGTCATGATTGATGTGCATAATTTCCGTTTTCAGTCGAGCGACGGCGGCGTTTCAATATCAACGACAGGATCAAGGAGCTCGGCACCCTTCTGCCCAAGACCAATGATCCGTGAGTACGAATTTCTTTTTTCCTACTTTTTTTTCAGTTTTTTGAGGAATTTTCTTCTCTTTGCCTCACGTCCTACGTTTGCTCTTCTCCACCTTCTTCTCTCGTCACTTCTCTTTTCGCAGTTTTCTTACATTCTCTGTCTTATCCTTTGCACATTTTCCCCACGGACCATTATTTCCTGCTCGTGGCCTTTTACGACGAGTTAGTCTAGGTCAGGTGCCCGAGACGAGAGGCTTTCACCGGAAGTCCATTCTTTGGCTCTCCTCTTCATCCCCCGTCCTCCTTTCCTCTGCTTTCCTTCCTTTTTCACCGGCTCTCCTCCACGGCTGCTGCTCGCTCTTCCTTCCTCCATCAGCTTTGTTTCCCGTACTTCCTGCCGTCAAAGTGCAACACTTCCTTGTCCAGCATGTTCTCCCACCCGGTGAATAAAGGCAAATGCAAAAGAAAAATGACACTACGAATCGGAAATACGGGGAGGAAGAAATTGGAAAGAACGAGTTTGTTTACCTCTCGTATTATCGCGCTTTTGCCAGTAACTCATGCATTCTTATGCTTTAGATAATTAATTTACAAAATTAATCCTTTGTACCATTCTTTTGTGTAACTTGAAAAAATTTTTTTCCGCATATGTATTTAGATTTGAGAAAACATAATTCGAAAATTTTTTTACAATGTAGTTTTAAAAAAATATATTTAATTAAATTATAAAATAATTTCTTTTGAGATTCATCTTTATTCAAATTGCGGATTTTTCTTAATGTCGAACGAAATAAATTATAACTTGGGTACATTATTTTAATGGTTAACGATGTTTATATAATCGTGACATTTGAATTTTTACACAATAAAATGTTAATTGCATGAAGATAACGGCCGGATAACATACGGTTATTTAAGGGGCTTAATTATTCACTATTATAATTAGTCATCACAAAAATTCTTATCTCTGTGTGTTATCTATACTGTTCGGCATTTATATTTAGAGTCATTTTTATACAGCTGTAAAAACTCCAGTTAACTAACTCCTACTAGCAACACACATTTGCTTCTTTTCAAGTCCTAAAAAAATCACGTATTAATGTTTTATTTAAACTTTATTTTAGTTTTTATATAATTTGCTTAAATGATTCTATAAACTGAAATTAGTCGATAATTTAAAAAATTTTATATTTATTAATGTATTCCAAACAGCTTCCAAATCATGAGTGACTTTCAAGCAGAGAATATATTGCGACGCAAATTATTTCGAGTAAATATATCTCAATTGTGCAACGCGCTTATGACATGGAGGGGACATTTATTTTCTTCTCCGTTATTTTTCTGGAAAGGTATTTCGTATACGATAACGTGCATTTTATGTCCGACTTGTTTCGAATGTGATTTCCGACACGAATCTTTGGCCCCGAGACTTTTTCGACACACGATGGACGTACTAACGAGCGTCCCTTTTGCATAGAATAGCCGACCAAGTTCGATCGTCGTTCATTTATCAATCCAACGATCGACCCATTTGTCTATGTCAAATGTCCGGAGAACTTAAAAACTACCTCTTCGACTACGGCATCTTCTTTTCTCATGCGCGTTTCTTTGAATATCGATCCTCGAAAAGTTATGGAAAAATCTAGACACATTTGGGTTGGTTAGCGTTAACTATAGTTAATATTATTAATAATAATAATATTAATATTATATTAATATTATTAATAATATTATTATAATATTATTTATAATAATATTATTCCTATAGGAATAATATTCAGCTGCAGCAATAATAAAAGTGCAATAGAATATAAATATTATAAATTGATTTGCTACATAATGATATTAAAAAGCAAAGTTTATATTTTTTTATAGTTTATTAATATAGTAATCAATGTTATTTTAAAGTTTCTTTCGTTATTATATATATTTTTATTTAGTACCGCAATTTAAAAGGAAGCAAAAAGTCCATGGAAATCGATATTGTTAGAACTGGCTCTTAGAGCTATCGAAAAATTATTTATCTGAAAATAATTCCTACTATACGTTTATCACCGACATTTTCAACATCGTAATTCTTCGTACGAACGATGTGACGCGAATTCAAAGTTTGTCGTTTATAATTATTGATTTACAGCGTCGTAATTTACGTTATCGTTCTTGTTCGATGAAGGAGAAGTGTGCAAGCTGGCGTATGTTCTTTATCTGCCGTCATATTTCCATCACATTTTTCGACCGTCACTAATAGATGCGATAACGAGAACACGCACGGGAATTAATGCGTCCCACGTTTCGAATTTCTCTCCCGATATTTGAAGATGACGAGATGAAAGTTGAATTAATGCGGCTTTACCTCAATCATGTATGTCAGCGATAATTTATACTCATTTTAATGCCCCTTAGTAATTGCATTTACCAGGCATTTTAAATTTTCCCATTGACATTCCGGTCTCGCGCGCATATTTGGCCGCATTGTTCGCGCATCTGCAGGGCGTAAAACGTTGCGCAAATTAATACGCACATACGTCCTCGATTCGCAGTGCCTCTTATCTAATGACGCTCATTTCATCGATAAGACAATAGGGTGTAGTCGTCGCAAAAATATGCGATAACGTCTGCTTATCGCAACCGACTCTATTACGAATGATAAAAAAAATGGAATTGTCAACTGTGTTGAATTTACATTACACAACTTTCCTCGCGTAAACAGTCTTGGCTTATTTGTCAAGGAAATTTGATATTGATCAAGCTGTGCAAGATAAATTTAAGTAAGAATAATTTAAACAAATATTTTCAGACTTTCAAGAATCTTTGTTCGCAAACAGTGTAAGTAAAGTCTACATATAGGGAGGTTCTCTTAATTGCAAACTTTCAATGCATAATTTTATCGTAATTTACAAAATGTAATCTAAGTAATTTAATTTATAAGAAATTAGTAATCTTTGAAGATAGGATTTTTATAACATATGCAAGAAAAATAGCTCTATTTGTATAATCGTGCGAGAATCTTGTTTTGATTTCGCCAAAACAGTTGAAACAGTTGCTTTCGTGTTAATCGCGATTATATCTGAGAAGAAAAGGAAAGTAATGTCTCGTTAATAATAATGCGTGTTAGAATTTTGTGAATGTCTTCTCTGAAATGCGTTTTCTGCTGTAAGGTTTCAGTTTTGACTTTGTCCGGGAGAGATATCAAGGGAGATCTGTGTAAACTCGGTGCGATAGCGCGCCAGTGATAATGAAGCACAATCTCGATTCTAAAGACACTGGTAAACACGACATAGATTTCTCTGCGTCCCTTCCTCTGGTGTTTCCGTTCATTCAGCTTAAGTTTCGGAACTGTCCCCGTTTCTGCGAGACGCTTCGAATCTCTCTCTCTCTCTCCCTCTTCTCGTTCGCTCTCCTTACATCGTTGCTCATTAGCGCGAACGAAGGAGAAACCCGTCGATGCACGGCTGTTTATTGCTTACCGTGCAAACTCGTTCCTGACGTGCGCACAAGTACGAAAACCACGCGCGACTCCCAAGCAGAAGAGAGGAAACGTGGCGTGATGTTGCTGTTCCGTGGAAGCGTGGAATGTATGAACAATTCGGATGTAAATGCTCTTGTTAATCATAATAAAATAGTAATTGAAGTTTATGAGCTAGCATCACGCAGCGTTAAATGGTTTTTAGTTATTTATTTTACATAATGGCTCGTATTCTCAATGCACATTTAGTGTTAAATAACTGACAGATGTGGAGCTTGCATTTAATATTAATAAGAAGTAAAAGTTAAATAACCATATTTAATATTTAAATCTAAATGACTACATGTTATATGATATTTAATGTAGCGAGAATTATACGAACAAAAGAGCTTTCGCTTCATTCTCGCGTTAAAAATTTCTCGATGGGAAGATAATTGTGAGTCTAGTTAAATCCGATAGTAAAATTCCGCGAAGTGATTTTGTTGAAAAATGCAACGGGTCGAAATATTAACTCGAAAGAGCAAATTCGGAGATGTGGCGGAACTTTTGTTACGAATTCTCAGACTCGTGTATCATGAATAATTTAGCAGCCATGAAAAACGCACACTTTCTCTCTTATGTAAGATGGAAAATTAATAAAACGCAGAATTTGGTATAGTAGGCGCGTACATTTGCGAAAACGCAATTTATGGTTTTCGGTTTGAAGCACGTGAATCCGCATAGCTGCAAATTTGGTCGTTGCGAAGTTGCTGGAGAATACGGAACATGACGACGTCTCGCGCGGAAAAGTGATGCTTTATTCAATGTTCCGGCGGCTGTTTGGTTTCCGAGTTTGCTCGGCAGGTGCAAAATTTCGCAAGTCACGCAGCAGTGCGCCCATTCGCGATTCGCGATCACGCATAAATTTAATTACGCTTTGGTCGATGTGAATTAGCTGCATCACAAACACACTCATGCCGTTAAAAAATGTATATTATATTGCCGCGATGTGTGCAAAAGCAATAGATAATTATTAATTATTGCCGCGTTATTGCCGCGTTTTAATTTTAATTTTATAATTTACGAATATAAATTTTTAAACTAAATAATTTGCACATATTTAAAAAATTCAATTTGATGTTATTTTATTTCTTTATATTATTTATGTAGCTTTGGCACAATAGTAATTTTCCCCGGGTTAATACATATGTATGAGAATTTATCCCTTTATCGTTATCTGTATATACCGTGAATCTTTTCTCAATTTTATTCGATCCCGAATAAGTATATTCTTTACCCTGGCATTTGGCCCTTTTTATGTGTTTGTTCTCATTTTTTCTTCTCGAAAAATAATCGAAAGATTAGCTGAAGAGATTGAACAAACAAACAATTTGATCCTTGAGTCAATGCATCTTAGTCCTTACATGTGATATCCAGGAACTATTGCATATTATCTTTATCAGGCCTATATGAAGTTAGCCCCCCATTTTTCGATTTTGAATATTTTTTTAGTTGTTCCAGGTTGTTCTACGTTTGTTCTATATTGTTCCAAAGTTATGAACAAAAAAATCGAAAAACATGACGGGAAAAGCAAAAAAACGATTTATTTTGTGGCCACCCATTTTTTTTTAAATTCAAATTTTTTTGCTGTTCTGGATTGTTCTAATTGTTCTAAACATTGTTCTAAAATATTAATCCCCCTAAAAAAGAATTTAAAAAGATATAGCAAAAAATAGCATTAAGCGTCCAAATAGTATTTTTACATTTATCGCTATTATTATATTATGTTTTGACACCAAATTACATATTTAAGCTAAAAACGAATAGAACAACCCAGAACAACTCTCAGTTTCACCAGAACAAACATATAAAAGGCACTTTACTCTTGAAGGTAGAGAATTATTTTGTCTTTTTCGACCGATAATGTTACATCAGCGACACTAAAACCTAGAACAATGAGAAATAGACACAGAACAATCCGGAATAACTCTCAGTTTTGTCAGAACAAACGTTTAAAGAGCACTTTACTCTTGAAGGTAGAGAATTATTTTGTCTTTTTCGACCGATAATGTTACATCAGCGACACTAAAACCTAGCGTAATAACTTCGTATAGCATACGAATGAGAAATAGACACAGAACATTATCCGGAACAACTCTCAGTTTTGTCAGAACAAACGTTTAAAGAGCACTTTACTCTTGAAGGTAGAGAATTATTTTGTCTTTTTCGACCGATAATGTTACACCAGCGACACTAAAACCTAGAACAATGAGAAATAGACACAGAACAATCCGGAACAACTCTCAGTTTTGTCAGAACAAACGTTTAAAGAGCACTTTACTCTTGAAGGTAGAGAATTATTTTGTCTTTTTCGACCGATAATGTTACACCAGCGACACTAAAGCCTGGAACAATGAGAAATAGACACAGAACAATCCGGAACAACTCTCAGTTTTGTCAGAACAAACGTTTAAAGAGCACTTTCGTAATAACTTCATATAGCATACATTATACGAAGTTATACGAAATCCGTTGTTCTTTCCGCGACTCTATCTTTCCGCTGTC